GACGATATTACACATTTTCTTACATATAAAGTATGTTTGATTTTTTTTTTTTAGACATATCGAGCCCTAACCGCCAAAATAAAGTAAGCGACATTTTTTTCAAAATTTTATTTTTGATGCAGAAATATTCCTAGGGCATCTAGATGTATTTTTGCATCAAACAGAAAATTTTGAAAAAAATGTCGCTTACGTTATTTTGGCGGTTAGGGCTCGATATGTTAGAAAATGAGGACCACTTAAAAAAAAATTTAAAAATCAACGCGAATTTCAACACAATACGATAGTAAAATTTAATGGGCTATAAAAGTGTATACTCGAGTTTTTTCTAGAAATTCGAATAGAAGAGTTCAAAAGTTTGATGTCCATTTTTTTAAAGTTGGAGATTGTTAACAAATTCTGTAAATAAATAAATGCTGTAATTTCTGTAAAAAATAAATAAAGTAAAAATAAATGAACAAAAGTCATAAAGAAATAGTTGCCCTAATTATATAGCCACCACTGTGCATATACGGGTTTTAAAAAATTTAGGTACTAAATTGGGGTTGTTAACCAATAATAGAGAAACGATAAACCACTAGAGAAAGCAAGAATTTCTAAAAAATTAATTGTTTAACACAAAGTTTGATGCCGTCTCGAAACGTATGTACATATATGTATGTATGTATGTACATATCTCTTAAAAATATGTAAAAGTAAAATCAGAAAATTTGTTGGTGAATTCTGGTCGCTTAAAATCCAAGTGTTGGCCATAAAAGTGAAGTGAAAAACTTTGATCGTAGTGAAAACGGCAACACTGCTTGAAAGCCCTTTCAAAAAAAAAAAAACAAAAATAGTTAGCTGTCAGAAAAAATTAATTATACGCCCATGTTGCCGCAATCGCTATGGAAACGAGCCACTAAATTTAACATACAGTGGCGAAAATATAAATAGGGACGTCCTACTTGAGCACGCTTTGGATATTTTCTTTTGCTTATTTAATGTTTATTATATATTTTTTTTTTAAGTATACATAGCTCGTTATTTGAAAAAAGACATTTAAGTCCGAATTTCAAACTTTGTATCAAAATTTGGAAATGTTTTAATTAGATTTCTTAGAATCTTGTAGCCCATTACATTTTAGTATAATAAAGTGTAAGCTTAAAGTAGTGGAGCTACCGTTGATTTTTGGCAATTGTTTTTGTTGAAGGTTAGTATGAGAAAAAATGCGTAACCCGTCAACAAAAAAAAAACACAACTACTAAAACTTAACTGTATTTTGTAGACACTTCAACCTTGAATTGGCTACAAAACAGCATCCTAGAATTTTCGCTTACAGATTCTGAATAAAAAGTTTGAAATTTTGATGAACATTTTTTGAAATTCTTTGAATTTTTATAAATCTTGCACAAAGTTTGAAATTTTGACTTGTGTGGTTTTTGTTAGCAACACTTTCCTAATTTCAAAAGATAACTCTATATTTTTATGAAGCATTTCTTTTTGTTGTAAATCGATGTGCGCTTCAGTGTTGCCGCGAAACATTTTTAGTGGTAGCTAAATTCCAGCTAAAAAAGGGCTAAAAAAGAGCTAAAAATCGTCGTTGTGGCTAAAAATGGTAGCTAAATTTTTTTACCTACATCTTATATATAAAAATAAGTGCACGTTTTTGGTGTGACCTCATAACTTGAAAACAGCTTCACCAAATTCAACCAAATTTATGTGGCATATTCGATTTATCATGCAGATGGTTTATGCGAAGTTTTCCCGAATTCGGAAGAGGGGGCGTGGCACCACCCATACTAACTAAAATATAAAAATAAGTGAACGTGTTTGGTGTGACAATATAACTTAAGAACGGCTTCACCGAATTCAACCAAATTTATGCGGCATATTCGGGCCATCATGCAGATATTTTATGTGGAGTTTTCCCAAATTTGGAAAAGGGGCGTGGCATATGTATGTATCTTATGTATACAAATAAGTACACGTTTTTGGTCTGAGCTTATAACTTGAGAACGGCTTCACCGAATTCAACCAAATTTATACGGCATATTCAGGCTATCATGCAGATGGTTTATGTGAAGTTCGCCCGAATTCGTAAAAGGGGGTGTGGCACCTTCCATACTAACTAAAATTTTTTTGTTGTATATCTCTTGAAATATTTGTGGTAGAGTACTGGAAGTTGGTATAGAGGTATAACAAATAATTCCATACTCATGGATAAAAATGGGCAGTATTGGAAAAGAGGGCGTGGCACCTCACATCTTATATATAAAGAATAAGTGCAAGATTTCCACCAAATTTATACGGCATAGTCGGGCTATTAAGCAGATGGTTTGTGTTAAGTTTCCCCGAATTCGGAAAAGGGGGCGTGGCACCACCCATACTAACAAAAATTTTCATCTGGTATATCTCTTGAAATATTTGTGGTAGATTACTGGAATTGGTAGCTATACGTGGCCTGTTCAAGAGTTGGCATTCCAAATTGTTTATTTATTCATACCCAAGATGGAAAAACAAAAAATGTTGTATATCCAAATCTGTTGGATTAAGATTTAAAACAAAGAATCAAAAATTTTGAAATAAAACAAATGATAAATTTTCATATAGAAAAATTCCAGGACTTTTCATTCGTTTTTCAATATTTGGTGTAGAGAAGCACACCGGGGTACTGCTAGTATAAATATGTAAGTATACACGCAAACATTTTCTATAATTACTGGTATAGAAAAACAATGAACTCTGAAAAGAATTACTATTTTATTCAACAAAAAAAACTTTTTGTGTAACACATAAAGCATATTAAGGGCCACCAACTTACCTATTTTAAAGTATAGTTAAATCGTTAACGGATAAGATAACGGCAACGTAAGGAACATACATAGAAATATGTTTACTTGCCTTAAAGGAAAGGCATTCGCTTTATGAGCGAAGAGTTAAATTCATGAAAATCATAAGAAAAATTTGAATGTCAATGATGAATAAATTTTGAAAAGGGCTAAAAAAAGGGCTAGGGGCAATTTCAAATTTTTGTGGCCAAAAAAAGAATTTGGTAGCCAAATTTAGCCACCAAAGGGCTAAAACGGCAACACTGGTGCGCTTCCATCAATAGCAATATCGATAATTTTAAGATAATAACATAAATAAAGAATTGATAACGTGAATAGTGAAAGCATTGAAAGCATCAACTGTTACACATTGGTCAGTTGTTTGCGCTCACCGACAGAATATCGGCTGTGTTGTAAACTGGTGGAGGCATATATCAACGGTACTTTGGTAAAACCTCATATCTCAAAAAGTAATACTACCTCGTATCTCATAAAATTATTTAATCAGCCTCTTTGCGTAATTTGAAAATTAGGCTAAATTGTACGACTCGACAACATTGCCTTTGTCTACTGTCATGCTGAAATAAGTAAACGACGAAAATTGTCTAAAACTATGCAGTGCTGCCAAATTTTTCCATTTTAATACACCAGTCGAGTCGAGATTTAGGGCAATGACATGAAATTTTCGATAAAATTCGACTCCCAAAAACGACTTGCATTCGACACGACTCTCGCAATGAGGCTGCATAAATAATAGGCCTTAAAACACTACGGTTCATTATACTATTTATTCTTAATTAAATAAAAAGTACTTAATCTTCGATATTGAGTAAAAAGGTATTAAAATTTATTTTATGTTATTAATAAAGTTTTTTTTTTGTTTGAGAGTGTTTTGAAATACGAGTTTTTGCCAATGTACCGTCGATATGTATGTATGTCAGATGTTAACCGCAATTATGATCACCGCTATATGCGCCAATTTCCGTTGGCGTTGGCTTTTACCCCTATGTTGTTGTTGTTAGTATAAATATCGTCATCGTCAGTAAAAGTGACGATACGGCCATCGTTAGCCATGTTACTGATACGCTGACGATCGTCGACGATAACGATGACGATATTCAGCAATGGTAATGCCAAATGGTCTTTTTTATTTCGTTTTCAAACGACAATGCCAACGGAATAGGCCCCCGATTGCATACTTAAAGCGCGTCCTATCGAGGATTTTGTTCTGCATGAACGAACTGATTGGACCTTAACAGCTCCAGACCTGGCAAATACATTCATGCCTATGGTGGTATCCGACGGATCTAATAGGATTCGCACTGTCGTAACAGGTGTGTGTGTCGTCAGCCCCCATGCAAACGACCCTGGCTAAGCGTACCGAAACACGCCATTTTGTAATTTGTAAGCCCACTGTGGCTCCCTGCAAAAATTATAAAAACCCGCTGTTGCACCATTCGAGACCAAACGAGATTTTAGACAAGACGAACAAGTTTCGAACAATTTCGTCAAACTGATGTTGCCAATTTGAATCGCCACGGTACCATATACAGTCCTAACACCGTAAAAAACATGTAGAACCAAAAAAAAAAAACTGTACCAGCAAAGGAATTAAAAACGTCTTCATAAAACACTGCTACTCCAAATAAAAATTATAGAAAATAAAAGAAACACAAAATCTTTAATTTGCTGCATTTAAATCATATGTATATTTAATATTTTAGTTGAATAATCTTTTGTTTTTGTTTTTTTTTTCGTTTGTTTTTTATATATTTTTTTTTCAGTAATAGGACAATACAAATAGTGTTTAGTTTATTATATACGTGTTTACATATGTATGTATGTATAGTTTGTATGTATGAATGCATAAGCAATAAACTT